CTCCTCCTCCTCCTCCTCTCCCCCAGGATAGGCATTGGACAGCGCGGTGGCAGAGGTGAGAACAAGGACAAACATGAACATCACTTTGGAAAGCATCTTGTCGCGAGTAAAAAATGGGACTGTAGGCACGCACAAGGCAGAATATATATTACGTGACTGGTCATAGATTGTTTACGCTGAAGTCGGTGTGGTGAGGCATTAGAATGTCCTTGTTAGCTGCCTAACTCTGATACGACTTGGCAATTGCATCACAAATTAACTGGTTAAAAACAACCACCACGTGTCAACGTGCGCAAAACTAATGTTTAGTAGGTTGGGGAGGGAAGGGACATAGAAACTTTAGGAAAGAAGCTGAAAACGGTCGGATGAAAAGGACATTTCTGTCCCAGAAATTGACCTCCGCTGTCTCTCCTCTCGGCTACTATTGAGGGCTCCATATTTAGGCTTAACTCCAGTCGGAAATATAAATGAAGTCCGAAAGTCTGCTTGGCAGGAAAGGCGCGTTACACGTTAGCCTAGCTGCTGGCTAGTTGGCGCGTCCACGGCCGGCGGCTAGTGCAACGGCCTTTGGAGAAGGTTAGCTGCTAAATAAGCAGGCTCCTGGGCCTGGCAGCAAAAACAGTCTTACCAAGGCGCGGAGAGTTGAGTTTTGACACACCGACTGCCTTAAAAAAGCTGCAGGTCCCAATGACGGCACTGTGATATGGCTATCGTGAACCGTCATTAAATAGGTTTGTTTGCCACCACTGTGTTGTGGTTAGGTTCTTGAGCGAAAGCACCAGAGGAGACGGCAACAGTAGCTTGTGTAGCCCCACTCATTAATCCCCACAACCGGCACGTTTTCCTATGAAGCGGTGTTTATCGGGTTTTATGGGCGGGAAATTAGGACACGCAGTGGAATATACTTTTATAAATGCTAAATGCATCTTTATTTTACTCTATTTAGAAGTGTTGTTGATTGATATCTGTAGATTTTCTTAATCTGTATTATCATTTAACTTATTGCGGAAAAAACTGATTATCAAACTGCAGGTTTCGCGAATTTCGCGAGGAGACAACATTGAGCAAAGAATCCCTTCGGTTGTTGGGGACCCGCCTGAATACAAAATTCCTACGAAACCTCATGTCAACGTACGATACTAGGACCCATGCTACGGCATCCGCTGGAACTGACGCGCTCCGCAACCCTTGCCCAGTGATGCGGGCGGACAGTATGCAATGTGGCCTACTCAACCGGAAATGGACAACTAGTATTGGATGCTGGAATGTTCGAGTATTCTTGAAACCAGCAAACCGGCACTACTGGCATGGGAACCAGTAAACGACCCGATGGCTTGCGTTTGACTGAAGGGTCATTTGAAGAATACCTCGGTCGTCTCTGTGTATGCCTCAATATCAGTGGCCGAATGGTAAGATAATAAAAAGTAGATTCGCAGCTGCAGAAG